TATTTCTTTAAATAAGTATCGAAGCGTATTTACTTTATTCGTTTCATTTTGCGTTAACTTTGCGTGAGAGTATTCGGTAGCTTTGCTGAGGGTGTGGGTGGTGTTGTCTTTCTGGCTCGTAGGCTTTAAAAAAATAGAGTTAAAGTTTAGTTTTAAATGTCTCAAGGAGTGTGGGTTTCACTTGCGTTTTATTACAGTATAGGTATAGTGTACAGGTGTCTGAGGAAGTGTTAGCAGCGGACTGTTAGTAAAGCTTTATTCATTGTGACAACTGGAATTCGAAACATAATACTAGAGGTAATCGTATAATCGTATTTGATTTTAAGACTATGTAATTGGAAAATCATTGTGCACCGTGTTCTGTATGTTCTGTATGTCTGTTGGGGTCTTGGAATCAAGCGTAGAGGCAGTATCCGTCAGATACTAGCGTGTCGGTATTGTATTTCGTCTATAGCAGAGTCTTTTATTTCAAAAATAGAATTTCTATCCTTAAATCTCTATCATTTCGTAATCTACAACTTTTGATATATCCCATTATAGTTGGTTTTTCTCTTGTTTGTTGCTAGTTAGTAAATGTTAGTAATGTAAAAGGTGTCGAATAGGTGTTCTTGTGTTGCAGTTTACTGCGATTGCCTTTGAAACACTCTAGTACTTAGTAGTAAATAATAATCGTTAATTGTGTGTAGAAACTGTGAGTGTTGTTTGCTTCGTCTGTCTCCGCTGATCTGTCGAGCTTGACTCGCGTTGCAACCTAATGAGCAGAGCTTCCCTTCTGTTTCTGTATATTATTTACAATTAATAAACTGGCACTCCTTTTGCGTGTTGCTCCATCGTTTCCTGCATTCGTTACGTTGTATCGTCAGTGTTCAGGGGTTTGCGCACTTGTGGAATTAGACATATAGTTGAGGCTCGTTCTTGATATGATCCATATATATAGACGTTTTTGGTGTTGTTGCTCTCGATGTCATTCGCTGGCATTATCTCTTGGCCTCCTTCTCCTGCAAATACATGCGCTGGCTCAGCGGTTTGGCGTATATCCAGTTGTCGCCCACGGGCTTGAAGTGCTGCGGCGGAATTCAATCACTTTATGGCTGAGTCTGAGTCACAGTCTATTGCAGTGGCTTACCTTGTGCTCCCAGGCCAGGTCGTACTCCTTGCGCACCTTCGCCTGCTCACGCTGCTGCTGCTCCACCACGAACTTGGCAGTGGTGGCGCGTTCGATGTCGTTGAACCTGCGGAAGAGCAACGAACAAAGAGATCAGATTACTCCGCTTCGCATTCGAGGGGGGCAGAGGTTAAGTGGGCAGATTGGTGAGCTGTTTACTTGAGTCCCGCTGTCACTTCCTTCCAAATTCGTCGCGATTCGTACTCATCCTGCTCAACGATTGGTCGAACTTGTTTCTTAAATATTGGTATGCGATTTACGTCGACGAATACTTCGGTTTTCTAGAAAATTCAAGAGATTCATTCAGGTTCACTAGGCGGTCAAACTGATTGGGTCTAATGCTGAACACACAACAATCATACACATAAGTACACGGGTATCAATTGAACAATTTGAAATACAACTTTGGACAGACAGGCAGAGGAGTAGTTGGTGGGTTCGATTTTCTAGACAAACAAAGTAAACACACGGAGGAAATGCTCCCGAGCTATTTAAGAGAAAAGCAGAAGAATCGTGGAAAGTAAGTAGAGGTAGAGGTGGGGTGTGCGGGATGGATGTGGCTGCCAACTCGTGGGGTTGTTTCTTGCAGCATTTGGGCGCAGTATGCGGAGGAAAAATTACACGAAAGGGTTCAACATTTACGTTAACAATATAATAATATGGTAACTAACTACATACAGCTAACATAACTCGGGCGACTTACGTTCTTATCGTGCCACTTGGCCTCCATCAAACCGCTCCACTCGCCAGCAATCGAGACAAAAGGCTTCTTTTCGCTTGGCGCATAGACCTACGACATCTCAGAGTTAGTATCAAGTAATAGATCACTTTAGGAGTTTCTTACCTCAGCGGAGACCCTGTTGCGCTTGCCGCCATAGAAGGGCTTCGTGAGGAACTCCACGTTGGCGTAGTAGCCCGACTGCGGGCACTTGATCTCCACCGAGCCACCCAGCTCAATCCAAGGCACCGTTAAAATGGACCTACAATCAATCGGATTCTTTAGTTATATAGGGTGTAATAATGAGGCCATGAAGATACTCCTAACCTGCCGTAGCCATTGGGAAAGGTCACTATGTACTCCTCGCTGCGATCCACTAGGGTGACTACCCCTTCGCCAATGTTGTGGACGCCAATCGAGAGGCCCAAGAACTTCGACTTAGTCCAGACATGGGCCGCAAACGTGATTTTCTTATTGTAATGCTCCGCATAGAAGGCAGAAACTGCAACAGATAAATTTGTGACTGTCTTGTTTTATGGGGGTTTCCCTGTGATTCCTCTTACTTGGCGGATGGTGCGACACCTGCTCCGCTAAGAAGGTGAGCTGATTCCGCTTGCACCAAGGCACTGGGCCGTCGCGCACCTCCTGAGCATCCTGGCTCTCCCCTGAAATAATAGAAGATTAGCATTAATGATCCGACATGAGTCCCGCTGCACAGCTCACCAGGAATGTCCCAATGGCACTGAAAGACTTCGCCCAAAACGGGATTGTAGGGCTTCTTGGCAACTGCACTTTTGCGTCCCGCATGGTAAGCACTCATGTACCAGCGACACACCTGCACGATTCTGTCGCGTGGATCATCCAGATCCGAGATTCTGTTGCAAAATATATGATCCATAAGTTATATTTCTTTAGAGAAGAACAATGTTTCGAGACGTACTTTACAAACAGATCGGGATGGGCAAAGTAGTCGGCGTACATCTCCAGCAGCGAGCGACGCTCCAGGATGAACGTGGGCAGCACCACCTTGGTGAGGTCCATGCCGATCTTCACCTGCGACAGCAGGTGCGTGATCATCGAGCCGTGCGCCTCCATGCTGAGGTCCGTCTCCTCCTCCTCCTCGTACAGGGCGTCGTAGTCGATGCCATTGTCGTAGCTGGCACTTCGCGAACTGGCCGCCGTCCTGGCTGTCTTAATGCTGGCATCCGCATCGGCCACGCTCTCTTCGATCTCTGGCAGCGTTTGGGGGGCAACTGAATCGCCCAGCGGCATTGGCTCTGCTTGGGTGAAGCCATCCGTCCCCTTTTCGTGGGTGGGCGATGTGGTTTCCGAGAAGCCGCGCGTGGCGCTGGTTGAAAGGGAAATGAGAGTGAAATCAGGACTTGTTGATTAGGATTCCTGCGGTGTCTGGGCATAAGTAATGACCCGACATAAATCCACAAGCGTGATGTCAGCGGCGTGTGCGTGTACGTCACTGGGGACCAGCAGCCACCGCAGCCTCCGCATCCTCCTCCTCCTCCGTTTCATATTCAAGCTCTGTTGCTTGCTTCATTTACAATTTATGAGGGCAACACTTACGGCGACCTGGCGCACACCGTACACCACCTCACCTCAGGCTCACGCGTCGGACCCACTTCTTGAGCATGGCGTGGGATGCTGATGCTGACGTCGATGCTGGCCGGATGCTTCACTGCACTCCCACCAGCGGCTGCATAGTTTCGAACCGTAGCCTAGACAAAAGCCGCTGCCTTGGCTAGGTCATTAATGGCAAACAAGTAAGTAAGCTACTGAAAAATCCACCCGGAAGGGGGCCACCAGGGTGCACCCAAAGGAGCGCTCCGACACTGCGAGCCGATGACGAACGAAACTACAACTGACAGACACACACAATGGCGACTGTAACTACGGCCGGGACGAGCCACGTCGATGACGAAGCGAGCCGCCGACCACGAAGCCGTGTCAGCTGTGCCAGTAAAGCTCCGACAACTGCACGGCCAGGTGGATGTGGAGGTGGAGAAGGAGGTCCTTGTATTTATTATTTACACGCGACTTGGCCGAAATTATAGGCTGCCCCGAAACTGCTATTGCGACGAACTTCGGCCACTGCATTTTGCATGCGCTGGCCAAGCGCATGCGCCTGCGGCAGAGCAGCAGGAAGAGCAGCAGGAGGAGCAGCAGGAGGAGGAATAGGAGGTTGAGGGGGCATGCCAGCAGCCGGGGGTTCCGGACTGGAGGGCAATGAATGCGTAATTTTAGCACGCAGCCCACAGCACACAGCACACATAACACATTACACAGCACGGAACTTGCCGGTTGCCGCATCGCATCTGATTGATGGCCAGTCGGCACACTTGGCCAAGTGGGCTTGGGCTGCTACTTGTACCACTCACCAGCCAATCGGGGAGCTGCCAAGGCTGGTGAAGGGATCGTCATAGGCATCGTAGAAGTCCTCCTCGCCCTCGCTGCTCGAGTAGGAGGTCTCCGGCACAACCAGACCCAGAGGAGCGGTGGTGGCTGCCAAGATGGAAGCCAGATGCAGATTAGCGGGGTTGAATCGAACTCGATTAGCCAGTTGACCCTGGCTCGATGGCCACTCACCGTTCTCAGTGGCCGAGTCGTCCTCGTCGTCGTGGCACAGCTCGCCCTTGCCGCCCACCTGGCCCTCCAGGGGCGTCTTCAGGCCACCGCATCCAGGCAAGTTGTGGCCGCTGCCCATGGCGGCTGCTCCACTGGCCGAGGAACTGGTCGAGGCAGTGGCCGGTGGGCCATTGTAGATCCCATTGATGGGGTGGGCCATGTTTTTGGCTATCTGCAGGCTGACAATCGAGTGCTTGATGTGATCCAGCATGGCCTGAAACGAGAATGCGGGATTAGCCAGCCAGTGTGGGAGTGGTGAACAAAGAGCACCGCAATGGCCTCGCCAAAGTTTTGCGAGGGAATGAGCAGCTGCCGGTTGAATGGCAGCCAGCTGCCGGTTGAGTGGCATTCTCCCAGGCCTTTGCATCTGGTGGCCTGCTAGCCCTGAGCATGCATTGGAAATCGATACCGGAGGGGGTGGCCCAGTGGGCCTGGCCGTATGATTCGTCCGGCAAACTCCGATGGGAGTAGAAACAAACATTCCAGCATTCCAGCTCTCTCTAAATTCCTATCCCTTTTAACGACTTAAAGCCTCCAATCCGAAATGGATTTTCTTGATCCTGAGCTCCACAGCATCGACGAGGTGTATGCCCAATTTGAAGCATACAAAAAGCAACGCCAGGAACAACAGCTGGAGCTGAAGGACAAGTTGGAGAAGTTCAAACTGGATGCCGATCTCAAGGTGCTCAATTCCAACATGGCAACCTTGCGGCTGGGGATGCAGAAGCTCGAGCAGCAGCAGCAGCAGGGGCAGCTGCGCCAGAGGAAACTCCCATCGCAGACGAGTTTCGAGGCCATTCAGCTCGCTCCACCGGGTGAAACTGATTCCTCCGTACAGGACAAAGACAAAGAGAAAGTCGTTGGGCCGGAGAAACTATTGATTAAATGCGGCGTGAGCGAGTGCCTCTTTGAGAGTTGCCAAAAGAGCGTGGACAGCCAGCTGCTTCTGCTGCACTACCTGTGCGAGCATGACCACAAGGATGCCTCCTTTCAGCGCTGTCAGCCGCTGGTGGAGGGTGAGCGGGTGGTGCTCTCCTTCCAGCCGCAGAGCTGTGAGTTTCGGGTGAACCAGGTGCTGGGACTCTTGGCCTACGGTGGCCAGCTGGAGCAGAAGTTTCTACTGTCCCGAAGGCCACGGGAGATCTCCAGCAGCCTTTTGGCGGAGACCCAAATCCCGGTGGTGGTGCTCATCTGCCGCACAGCCACTCATGCTGCTCTCAAGGACAAGCGTCCGATACGAAGTGTGCGGTCAGCGGGATCAAAGGATAATCAAAGGGATCAAGTGTTCGTGATTTGGCTGGTGACACCCAGTGACCGGGTGCAGCTAAACGCCACGCTGTGTCTGTGCGGCAGAGATGCTGCTGTTCGGTCCGCCTGCGTGGTGGGTGTTAGCCAGGTGAAGCACAGCCAGGACACCAGCCGCTTCATGGCTGCGGATGCCAACTACTGGCGACAGACGTACACCGATGTGGAGCGGCTCTCAAACAACTTCCGCGACGAACTGCACCTAGAGGTTTCGCTCACAGAATCCCCAGCTTCAGCACTGGGACGAATGTAGTCGACAGTGGCACTCTACTCACACTTGCGTTGTCCTGCAGCGCCTTGCACTTGGACTGCTCCGCCGGATCGGTCAACTCCGCGATGCGTTTGTCCAGCAACTAAGAACAGAACAGAACAGAGAGAATGAGAAAGCGAAAGTGACGTTGACAGTGACAGTAAATTGCATAATATGCCTGCATTACGTGGCACAATACTAACGTTCGTCTGCTCAATCATCAGCTGGAGGTAGGCATCCGCCTCGGAAACGCGGCGCGCCACCAGCTCCAGGTGGTTGGGTCGTCTGCCGCCCACTCCTCCAGCTCCGCCCGCTTCCCTCGTATAGCCGCCGGCGTTGTAGAAGGCGCTCTGGCTGTCCCACAGTCGCGAACGGTTCGCGTGGCGTCGAATGGTGTCCTCCAGTCGGCGCACCCACTGCTCCCGCTCCTCGCTGTGCCGCGCCTGCAAACGGTTGAGAAAGTTGCCAAGTTTAGTGGGCACCTCTGGCGGTGTGTGTGGGTATTGGGAAAAGTTTTATCGTTACATCAAGGCAACAAACAAAGTCAAACAAAAGGCAGAACGTGAGGGTCAGACAGGGGTTTCTAGGTCGCTGCCCGGATACCCTTTCTTTCTGTCTACTGTGCACCTGCTGCCCTTTTCCAGAGGTCGCAATAGCATATGACCGCGAACTGGAGAAACAAACGTGTCTGCATTTTCTATGAAATTGTTGCCTAACGCACTCATTGAGGAATAGTCGTCATAGAAAAGCATGTCTTGTAATTTGCAATTCAGAAATGTTTGTAAATTCAGTTCTGCAGGGAAACAAAGCTGCATTTAATTTCAACAACAATTAACAATTTTGATTGAACTATATGATAAGTAATACGTCCATTTAATGATGGTTTCTGTCAGAATATTTCATTTTGTTTATATATATATATTTTATTTTACTTGCCTGAAAGTGGAAGGTCTTGTGGTCCACGGTGATCGTGAACGTGTTATCCTCTTGGTCGTCGATCCCGATCAGTGCGTCCTTCAAGCGTACGCAGCCCCGCCTTACGCCCTTCATCATCTTCTCCTTGGACTGTAAAAGAAATGCAGTTGCAATTAGACGAGCCTATTTAACCACAATTCCGGCAGTCAAAGGGTTATTACGCCGGCTATAAATTAACGTATTCTAATCAATGCTGGGAGGTGAATAAAAGCACTGCTAAGCGCATTGTTCGCGCTTAAATGTGCACCAGCAGTTCGAGCAGACGATAGAGCAGCAGTCGCCCAGACCCTCGCGAGCCCAAGGATCCAGGCTAAAGAAGAACGAACGCAAATAATCAACATGGAGGCCTCAACGAGTAAGCCTCTGCGGAGAACTGAACGAGACTGTCCCACATCTCTCAACCAAATCGAATTGCAGGTGCTCAACTGCCGCCAGTGGTGAAGATTCCGGCGCTGTATGCGGATCCCTGGTACATGATCACCATTCTGGGCATCTATCTGTACTTCGTCACCGTAGCGGGTCCGCAGTAAGTCCACATGCAAATATCATAGTCGCTCGTTTGCTTGCGGGTCACTGGACTTGGCATTAGCAATTCCACGGGTGGGCTGGTTTACTTGTGTAAGACGACGACCTTTAAGCTCTCGCGCCCTTACAGTTTCATGGAGTGGCGCAAGCCCTACGGGCTTAAGCGGCTGATCCTGGCGCACAACCTTATCCAGGTGGTGTCCTGCGTGTACGTCATCAAGGAGGTGGGTGGTAACTTCAGTTGGCAGGGGCAACAGCGATAAAAGCTCTAGTTCCGCAGGTCCTCTACATCACGGACCACAACATCTACTTCTTTTGGAAGTGCCGGAAAATGGACAGCAATCCAGAGATCGTTCAACGCTACTTCAGTTTGGCCTACTTTCTCTTCTGGCTGAAGATCTCTGAGCTGATAGAGACGGTGATCTTTGTGCTGCGCAAGAAGCAGAACCAGGTGTCCAAGCTGCACATCTTCCACCACTTCTCCACGGTGACGCTGGTGTATGTGCTCATCAACTTGAACACGAATGGTGAGTTTCCCGGTCGCTGGCTTTGTCCCATCTCTGCTCTAACCAACCAATCGTCCACAGGCGACTCTGCATACTACTGCGTGTTCCTCAACTCAATTGTCCACGTCATTATGTACTCCTATTACTTCGTGGCGGCCGTGGCCGACAAGACTGTGATGGAGGCCCTGACGCCCGTGAAGAAGGGCATCACCGTCATCCAGATGACGCAGTTTGTCCTCATCCTGGCTCAGGTTCTCTACCAGGCCTTCTTTTGCGGCATGACGCTGCCCGTGTTCCTGTACTTCACCACCGTCATTGCGGGCATGTTCTACGGCTTCTACAACTTCTACAACAGCGCCTACCAGGTCGAGCAGCGCCGCAAGAGTCTGACAGCCGCTGCCGACTCGGGAAAGTGATCCCATGTCCACAAATCACGCAATAAAGGCGCACCAACAAGTGTGCGTGTATCCGAATGTATCTAACGCAGATAAGATAAGGCCACGGCCCACGGGGGATTCGGTCTTGGTTCTGGGTACGATATGGGGGTTAGTCAGGGTGTCCACTGTAGCCACTTACCGTGTAGTAGGACAGCAGGCCTGCATTCTCGTCTAGCACGAAGAAGCGATACTGCCAGCCCTTCATCACGTTTGTCCATTTGCTCAGTGTGCCCTCCAGTGTGCCAGCCGTTCCAGTTCCAGCTCCCGTTCCAGTGCCACCAGCTCCGCTGCCGGCTCCCAGGCTGGGAGCACTTCCAGTGGTGCTGGCCATGTCCTCCAGGTCCCGTGACTCGGCCACCGCCTCCTCCTCCTTCTCCTCTGCTGATCCGTCGTCGTCGTCGCCGGAAGCGTTCCGTGACGATATCGTGCGCCTGCTATGTTCCCCGAGCTCTTTTCTGGCCAGGAGCGGTTGATGACGCAATGCTGCTCAACGACTCGCACCCGCAATCTGTCACAGCCTCAGCTCCGCTTGGAATTTGCAAAACAAAGCAAAGCCCTTCCGAATTAGAGCTGTCAAAACATCGCTGGCACTATCGATGGTTGCGCTAGAGACGGCACTATCGATTCTTGAGCTAGAGACGGCACCATCGATTGTATTTTCAATCTCACGATAGTATGGTGAAACAAATGAATACCCGTCTACCGTTATTTATTTTCATTGGCAGTTAATTAGTTATTTTATAAAATGGGATCTTTAAAATATTTGTTCTTAACGATACGGCATTGGTTTTTTTGTCGACCAATACCTGAAACTTGTGAGTTCCTTTTTCTCGAAAGTATCGATAATTAGTTTGTAAAACTATCGATCGATGTTTTGCCAGCTCTATGCCGATTTGCAGCTGTAGTGCGAGCGCCAAAATATACCTTACTGTGAGCATTTGAATATTTGCAGGTTTTCCGTTGTTTTTTGAATAGTAATTAAAGTTTCTATACTTAAAACATATTTTTCCATAATGTTGTTTATATTTACATAGTACACGTTTAGTGATTGAGTAGATTTAGTAGCATTTCATCATCCAATTCGAGGGACGGCATACTTGGAAAGGCTATGGGCTCTATTGTTGTTTCCAAAGGAGAAAGCGACGACAGCAACTCCAAATGACAATTCGGCGTCTCGAAAATGATGTTGTTTGTATCCAGAATGTTTTCCGGCTGCTCCGATTCCATCTCTTTCGATTTCAAAGTAGCCATTGAATAATCCAATACAATTGGCGTTTCCAAAGGAGCAAGAGGCGAATCCGGAACCCGGTTCGAGGATAATTTACCCGACTCTTGCAGATGAGAATCAATCGACATCGGAGTTCGTAAAAGACGGATCGAGCGCCGGAGTGGTCTGCCCAAAGGCACTTTCCTTTCCTCACGAGCCCATCGGTCCAACCTAAAATTATTTTCCTTTTTCGTTTCACATCGGACAATATGGCTGTACCTGGCCAATTCCGTTTCCGGATAGGGAATTATCTTCTTCCGGAGCACCGCCTTTCCAATCTTGCGGTTGATATAAGCCTCCGATCTGTTGGCCAGGCGCATCTTGTCCAGGTACTTTCTTGCGTCCCACAGGCAATTTTGGATTGTCATATTCACCTTTACTTTGGTTCTCTGGCAAAGCATCCTTATATCTTCAACGCTGTAGATCCGGGTTAGATCCTCGGGTGTGACTTTCTGGGATTACAAAGATTCGACATTGTTAATTAAATAGAAATAAAACTGAGCTTTTATTTTTTTACAATATTTACACTAAATCTGTAAAATAATAATTAAAAAAATTATTTAAATTTATTTAAAAAAAAAACAAATATTCTTGCTATTAAACATAGCGAGAAATAAATAGAACTTTAAAGTAAAGCGTCAGCTTTTACGGACAGGGAGTGAGTTTATGAATTTGAAAAAAAATCATGGAACTTTTCGTTTACCGTTAACCGCTTACCAGTTTCTCATACATATCGAGGAGTCTTTTAAACTGTATCTTATTGCCAACGAAATCCTTCTTAACAATCCGCTCCTCGCACTTTAGGTAATCGATCAAGTCAATTGTCAAAATTCTCGCCATCCTTAAAAATATAAAGCCAAATTATCACTTCGAAGTGTCCTCAAAACTTTTGGCGTTCTAAAAAGCGCTGAAGTGTGACCGCCGATCGACTTGAATAAAATCTACGATTCCATTCACAAAAATATACTGATATATAATTTCAATTTCAAACGGGAAGTCTTTATACCATTAATAACTGGTACTTTAATTTACTTTTAATATTTATGTTGATATAATATATAACAAGTTGTGAGTTGTAAAGTTGTAACATTCAAATCTGATTTGAAATTAAATTTTAACGGTAGATTTGATAAGCATAAATGAGTTTTATACAAACAGTAAAAAAACTGTTATTTCAAATGATTCGACATTTATATAATTATATTCCGTGAAAGTTTCTTTTTAACAAATCCTTTTTATAAGATGTTTCTTTTTACTTATTTTTACAACCAGAATTAATTGCTAGAGCGTATACGCAATATCATTATTCACCTGGAACTTCGTGAAGATCAAACTGATCTCAATATGAAATATTTAATAAAAATATATATTAAAACTGAATTTTTTATAACCTTGTTTGTATCATACATATTACCTTCCCTTGATACTTGACAATTCGAGTTCCTTTAACTTAACTACTCGTTTTCCGAAAAAACTATTACCTTTCCCAGCACTGTATAATTATAATCCGTGAAGTCTTAATTTCAACTTAATTTAACAAATTTTTTTTAGCCCCTTTTGATTTTTTTAAACTCAATTTAACTCAATATAACTAGAGATAAGAACCTTGGTATTGATATGGTATCCCTTGAAACTCGTCTCCGTACATAAACCAATGTTTTATTCGCTGTCTTTCAAAACAAGTGCATTAAGTTTCTAATCAACAGCACCGCCTTAAACTAGAAAACTTAGTTCCTAAGGAAAACATAACACATAACAACTGCGGCTTGGGGCAGGGCTCATCTTTTGGTCTCCAGCACTTAACTAAGCGTCGCATCCGGACGGAGTCTAGCCGGCGAAGAAGCACCTGTAGAGCATGTAGAGGATGCCGAATATCCAGATGCCCTTGTAGACCTTGTCCACAACCCACATCCTGGGAAAGAGATATAGGTTATTTTAAGGGGATTTCTTAAGGGAATGTTCGTAGTACTTACACCTTCATGTGTCTCCTGGCCGCCGGAATCGACTCGTCCGACTCTTTGAGGATCAGACGGCGGGCGCAGAGGACGCAGTTGGTGAAGTAGTCGATCAGGTCGAGCTCGATCTTCTCGATCACGTAGGTGCGCCGCTCCTTGTTGTTCATCAGCTTGCGCAGCTTCACCGCCTCCGAGTTGTCGAAGTTCCAGACGTTATTGGCATAGTACTCGAACACCTCGAATCCCTTGAAGATGCGGTTCTGGACGCGACACAGTACCGGCGGGTATCGCAGTAGCCAGAGCAGGGCGTCCACAAAGAGGGCCGGCATCCACTGGAACAGCACCATGCAGACGTAGTGCACCCAGTAGTTGGACTTCATGGAGCCACCCGGATACCAGGCCACGCCGTTCAGCGGCACCTTGTTCTCGATCACCCAGCGTCCCAGCTCGATGATCTCCGCCCAGGACACCTTGATGTCGTTGGAGGAGGTCATGTGCGCCACCCGATTGGTGGTGTCCGTGCCCGCTGTGATGTTCCTCCAGCTGGCCACCAGGATGCCATTGACAGCCACATCCACGGGCAGGAAATCGCCGTACCCGGAGGAATTGCAGTACATGGTGCGAATGACACCCTTTCCCGCTCCGATGAGCAGGCCAGTGGGCCCGTTGATGTTGTCCGTCCAGCCCGGAATGGGCTCCTTCCAGATGGGGATCACGATCGAGGGCCGCAGGATCACGGCGGGCAGCTGGTCGAACTTCTCCACCACCAGCGCCTCGGCCAGTGACTTGGTGTAGGCGTACGTGTTCGGGATGTCCCCGAGCACCTTCTTCTCGATGGTGGCCACCTCGTCATCCGTCAGCCACTCGCAGGCCTGCATCACCTTGTGCGGATCTGCTGGCGGATCGTACGGCTTCTCGTACAGCGTCTTCACGTGCAAATGGCAGTAGGCCGTGGAGCAGTAGGCGAAGAAGTCCAGGTGCTTCAGGCTCTGGGCCAGCTCCAGCATGTACTTGGTGCCGCGGGTGTTCATGAACACGGCATTGCGAAGGGGTTCATCAAAGCTGCAAAAAGGAATGGGTAGGGTTGGGGTCAAAAAGGAATAGGGTCAGAGAATCATTAAAAAAGTAATTTTCATAAAAACCCTTATCACTAACGTTAAATATAATTAATGCAAATTAAATAGATTTTGCTGAGATTGCCTAATAAGTTAAGAAGTTTTTATTTGATTTATTATAGACATAATGCCTTTGAAAAATCGAGTTCCAAAAATTAATGAAAATGCTCCGCTATCTAGCACACAAATTAAAGTTTATATAATTTTAGTGTCCCCCAAAAAGGTTATAGACATTTATTTTAAAATCTTGTGAAGCAAAAGACAACAGTTAGAACTTATTTTAAGGTGCAACCCCCAAACAACTATTAACTATAACCATTCAAATTATGAAACATTAGTACATACACCATTTTCGCAGTAAGTATTTTAATAAATAAATGAAAGGAATATTTTAGAAGTGATATTTTCAATTGTATTGTTATTCTTATTTTAGTACTATAAATAAATGCACTAGTAACTCTACAGTTATAGCCCGATTTTCATGCCATTCAAAAATGTAGCTCACCGCACTGTGGCTGCACAATGGTACACAATGGACACCTCCTGGCGCAGCGTTTCCAGGTCCTTCTCGGAGATTCCCAGGCCGGGTAAGAGGACGTCTCCGGCGATGGCCACCACCTGTTGCAGGATTTGCTCCTCGCCGCGAAGCTGTTTCACCTGGTCAAACAGCTGCATAAAACACGCACACGCTCGTTAGTTGATTAATTTGTTCAAGGCAGGCAATTAGTTCCCATATGTTTCATAATTTCCACCCAGCTTACCACATTCTGGAATATATCCTTGATGCGTTCCTGCGGATCCTTGCCCTTCTTCGGCCGGATGAGCAGATAAATGCGCTTGAGGCCACCACACGACCTGCAGGAATTAATAATATTGCATAAGCCAAATTGGCGGAAATTGGTATTAATGGGGCCACGTACGGACCAGCTGCCCCGCCCACTCTGCGCCCACTTACCGCAGCAGTTTCTCGACCAGGACCTTGCCCAGGAAACCAGTGCCGCCTGTGATGAACAGACTGCGTCCCTTGAAGCACTCCGCAATGCGGTCCACCTCGTTGTCGTCCACCTCGCCTATGGTGGCCAAATCATCCTTCTCATACACGAACTTCGGCTTGGCGGTCATCTCGGATGGCTTCTGCGCAAATAATTAGGTAATATTAGTTAAGCTAATCTATCCCCAGGTATTTTAATAACCAATTAGCATTTTCTTATTGCCCCATACTTAACTTTTGATTGGAAGCGACTTAAGTGAACTTTAAAGTACAAGTAACATTATTATTATTAAAGCGTTTTGGGGAACTTTATTTAAGATGTTGTAAGTAATTAAAAAGGTTGGTTTTTCTTTTAATAATGTCAGCTAATAATATTTGGGAAAAACCAATTTATAATTATATTATTATTATATAAGAGCCATAAACACATATAATACTTGTTCCTACTTCATTAGTATTTAAATTTATGCATGCCGAGGCTAACTTCCTTTCACATAAACAATTTAAATTAGCACGTTTTTGGGAACCAGCTTGTAGCGATAACTGTTTTTATTTTTTATCTGTGAAATATGATCTCTAAAAACGGAGTTGACATTGTTGGGTTTTTCTGGGAGCACTTATGGTGCTGTAGGCACGTAACAGCCTAGCCGTCACCGCCAAGTGCACTTTTAATTTCATTTGATCTTGGTCGTAAAGTGGTCGGAGCCGCATGTGGTTATGAGGCAACCAACCAGTTGGCCCGTGGAGTTTAAAGCGACAATTGCAGATTAGGCCATGTTTGGCTGACTTAGCTGACTGGCCGACTGGCCACATAACTGGTCGACTGGCTGACTGACTGGGTTTCTGAGTGTCAACGTCAACGCGTTGACCATCGAGTGGGCAAGCGGAGCGACACCGATTCGGCGTTACGGCGGCAATTAAAAGATTGCCACATCCATGTCGCATGCCCCACCAGTCGCACCATGAGCTTGCCATGGGCGGTGGAGCATGTCCAGACGCAGAGCACCTTGTGTCCTTCATCCGCCCTCCGAAGTAAACTTGATCGAAAGCCGTTGGTCCGGTGACACGATGACCCGCATTCGACACATACCCGGTTATTAGCATTAGACGACGCGGACTTGGACCCCGGCTAACAAGGTGGACCGCCTGCTCTCTTCTGCTCTACCTGTAATCTTCTGGTTGGCGGAGCAGAGTCGCCATGAGTTGGGGCTGGGTTAAGTGACAGTGAAACTGAAGGCACAACGAGACGGGAAATTCTGTTTACAAAACTAATGTGGGTATACTCTTGCTTAAAGTTAAATAAGTGATTATTCCTGAGATAGCAAGCCAATGCTTGTATACTCTTTGGTATGTAGATAAATTTTAGCAATTAAATTGGATTCAATTTTACTTGCAATACCAAGCCAATGCTTAAATAGCCTTGCATTTGTTTCAAAAATGTATTAATAAAATTTGGCTAGATTTTTCTTATGTTATTTAGCTGATGTCTGTAGCTCTTGCTTTTATTGGTAGCAAGAACATTTTTTAGGTTTCCTTTGCATACCATGCATATTTGGATTTACTAAGTATTTTTACTCGTGTTCATTTAGCAAATTAGTCCAGGTGATAATAAATAATACTAAATAATAATTTTTTATTACAAATTTTCCAGAGGATAGGTATCGTGTAAAGCACATAAAAACGTTGCTACTTTACAAACATTTGAGTCAAACCAATATAAACCCAAATGGGGTATAAAAAGCAAATAACAAAACGAAGCGATTACTATAGCACTTGTTTTATGGCGATTCTGAATGTCTTGGTCTCAAATTAAAAGCTCTTAATGGCTGTAGCCCGCGGCCAAGATCGCAGCCATTGGGCGCAGTAGTTCATTGCTGATACTGATACTGCTACCGATACTGATACCAAAGACTGCGGCAGCGAACGTGATTTTCGAAAGTGAAAAAAAGGGCAGAGGTAAGTGCTTAAAACCGGGCCAAGCGATTGCCACACACTCGGCTGACCCGCTGATCTCGGCCAGCACTGCTGTGCCACACTAATTATGGCTTATTGCGATTTCAGATCTACTTCTGCTCCGGGGGGCAATCGAGTTGGCATCTTAAACGCTTTAAAGGCAAAAGCCATTAAACGATTCCCGGATAGCCACTAAATTTGCGCTAGTCATGGGAACTACAAACTGCAATTTATAGCCCTTGATACGGTGATTGCATGCCCGACGACAGCTGCACTTGCTGGAGAAGAATTTCCCAGCTTACATATTTCCCAATTTCCCAATTTGGATAAACACACGAAAAGTGCCAGTTGCTCCTTGCTCCTCCGGTTGCATGCAGTGTTTTTCTTCTGGGGACAACCAGTTTGGAGCAGCCAGAGATGTCAACAATGCGATAATAAAATCAAGGAGCGGATGCAGCAGGCCAGAGTCACGATTTATTTTCGGTAAACAGTGGTTGAGAAATATACACTTAAATGTTCGGCTAGAGCGCCAAGGACCTATCACCTTTATGGCTCTCAAATCATGTATTATAAAATCCAAAAATCCACTAATATATGCAGAGTGCCTTGGACTGGGTTAACAAATTTGAGTCGCATGCTAATTGCTAATAGCATAATCGTCACACAACCGTCTTCGATTTTAACTACTGTTTAAATTAATCGTTTAAGTTTGATCGCACCTTCACTTGGCAACAATGGCAGACCCTTTTAACCAGATACTTGGATACTTTGCGGATTCAGATGCGGATTCAGATTCAGATACTGTTGACCCGCGCTCGCCGAATGCTAAACACAAACTGATCACGAAAAGCGTCTCGCACTCCCAGCCAACCTAATAGAAAATAAAACGAAAACAACTTTAGGCCAAACTATGCATCGCATCGGCTAGTTTGGCGCACACACAGCTGCACATGTGTTACCATAGTATACCCCGAGATCTGGTAGCTACATAGTTTCCGAGCTGGCACACGGAAAAAAAGCAGTTCCATGTCAGGTCAAATAGACATTTACATTTCTCTAAAAAGTTTTATATGCGCATGAAAACCATTTACAGTGCTCATAAGAGTATCATATGAAAATGTTATAAAATGTGAACTTACTCTCAATTTATTTAAGTCTGTACAATCGGAAATAGAGTAACGATTACTCGAACTAAAGATCAACGATGTTAGAATTGTTTTATATTTTTTTATTTTTTTTTATTTAATCATCTGGCTTCAGACATTAAAATTCTGTTTTACATATTACTATATAGTTAGCTTATTAAAAGCTTAAGTTTTAAATATAATGTAGATATGGGAATAGTATAGAAAATGAGTAACCTCATATAATATATATACTATTCTGATCTCAGAAAAAGAAGGAATTTAAATCAAGATTTATTAAAAAAGAGATAAATAAATAAAGAAACCCAACTGGATTTGATCCTATTTTTATAAATTTGTTGTAATTTCTACTGAGCTTAACATTAATTTGATATTAATATAAGACGGTTTAGAAATCGTAATTAATAAATCGTAAATAGTTTTATTTTGGTACTTTCGTTATATTAATTTAGTACCCATCCTATTGAAAAATTGTTCAAACCCAATCGATTAAAATTCATGTAACAATAGTTTGGTTTTTTCACAATTTTTTGTCTGGTGTTTTACTTTTTTTTCAGTGCCCATAGACGAAACCGAATTAGAGAGAGACTCGAGCAGTGACACAGAAACTTAGGAGCTGGTGGGATTTCCCCTTTGGCCCCCCTTAACCCCCCCTAAACCCCCTGGGGATCCATCGGTCAGGGGTTGGACTACTGTGCGCCGCTTTCTCACATCGCTGCGCTCTTAAGTAAACGATCGACGCCCGGTGCTCACCGTCGACAATTTCGGAGCCAGTGCGTCCGCCAGCACTAAGAATGTGATGCAATTGCTTTAGGCCTGGGCAAACAATTCAATTTTCGGGCCAGCACCGCCTGCGTTACGCATACGCAGTGTGGTCCGCTTCGCAAATAGGAAATCATCTTTGCCCCAGCCATAAATGCCAACGAACCGCATCGGTGGGTGGATCGGATCGGATAGGCGAAAAGCGAATGCCTGAGTTCGTTTTATGGCACACATAAATCCGATTGCATTGACCATTAATTAGACGGATCTGGTTAGTTACACTGGTTGGCCAAAGAGTTCGAAACCGAAACAGAAAAAGATACAGATACAGAAACAGAAACAGAAACAGCAGAAACAGAAAGAGTAGCAGCCGCAAATTGACAATGGCATTGACATCGAAAAAGCGGCGCAGCATCTATTTTATTGGCTTTATTTTCAGCCAGGGCTGCAGCTAATCGAGCTAATCAAAGTGGTCAAGATGAGAGTATAGACTGAAGTCTGAAGAGTGAAGAGTGGCATCGGACGACCTGACCTCTGCTCACCTCGCAGTTTGGTTAAAAGCATTTAAGCCGCCACGTGATGTCCGTCGTTAAGCGTGCAGACTAAAATATAATATTTAAATGCGTCTTCTTTTCAGCTGAATTGATTTTATTAAGATTGGATAGTTTAATAAAGCTTAAGGGTTCTATTAAACACATTTCTCCTTATTTGTTTACATACTTCACACAATTTTAACTTAATTTTAATATTGTTTAGTGGTTACTTCACAACTATGATTACTTTTTAATAAATATATGGCTTTAAGTGAATTCCCCTTAAAAAAGATATATTTCAGTTATTAGCCAAGCTGATTTATAGCTTTAAAACCAAATCCGCATACCAACCTAATAAAAAATCTTAAAAACGCAGGAATAATTATATTAATGTCAAAGTCATGTTGTTAAAAAGACTTGATATTGGTAAAGCTGGCATATTTTTAGCTATGGGTCTGGCACACGACTTGGCTTATATAGCATTAAAATCATATTCCCATACCCACCTAATTTTAATTCAGAGAAGAATAACTTTTCAAATCTGATCTTAGAAACGCAGTAAGCATTTTAATTTTAGTTTTATTTAAATTCGCTTAAACACACTTATTTGAGATCAGAAGAATGGAAATGGAACTTTAATATAAATTTGTTGACAACAATGGTTTCAGGAGTGACTAGACAGATTCCAAAGTCATGTGGTCAAGAAGACTTGATCTTGGAAAAAGCTGCTCTATTTTTAACTGGGGGACTGGCACACGACTTGGCCTGGTCAACAAACCCAAGCTTTGAACTTGAGCTAGTCTTGTCTTATCTCTTTCCCAGCTATTTCGGTTTTGTTTTCGTTGTTTTCGTTTTTTTCTCAGCTATTTATGCAAATGAGGCATCTGCAGACGTGGTTATCGCGCGTGTTTTGTATTGATTTTGGGCGATCGTAAAGCGAGCAGTAGACACAAGAAACCTGGCCGACAAAACCCGACACATTTGTGCCCCGTCATGCGTGGTGGCCAAAGCCATTGTTGAAACAGCAGTGCGTCTTAAAACTTTGCCCTTTTGCCGGCCGTAATTACAGACTTCCGCCTTTTTGAACAGTTTCACAGCCCCACCCAAATGGGGCGAGTCTCAAAAAAGCTGGCGGGGATGGGGGTGCCTGGATGGGATGAAGATGATGAGATGCCAGAGGCGCCACAATGTATCCCGTTACAGGTTACAGGGCCATAAAGCGCCATAAACGCCGCGACGGCAAGGGCAAATTATAACGCATACGGACACGTAGTCGATTCACTTGCCGTCGGCTAATTGGACGTGCCAGGCCAGGATTCCCCTGCTCCTGCCTCTGCTCCACCCCCTACTCCTACAACCAACTTAAAAGTGGGCGTAACATAACAATTGTGGGCGATTTGCATACAATTTGGTGCTCGAGTGGCCAGCAAACTGGCGACGAAATGTTGCTACGTCATTGTTTTTGTTGTCGTCGACTGCTTGTGGCTAATAAGTCAGCATGAATGCGGACTGGTTTTGGCCTTTTGTCCCGCTGACAGCCGCTGACAAGCTGAACAAACGTATCAGCGGCTGACCAGAGTCCATTTGGCGACATTGTCAAGGTTTTTTCTACTCACCCTGCACTCACTATACACCTGCTAATCTGGCTGGCTGACTAGCGCTTTAAAAGTGGGAACGAAAAAAAGTGCAGTGGCAACAAAGCCAGCGAACATTGAATGTCCTTTGGCAACATGTTGCTGCAACACTTGTTGCTCGCGCCCACACAGCAGCAGCAACAGCAACAGCAGCAACAACAGCAACAGTCTCCTTTGGCTTTGGCTCACCACAAAGGAGGGCATATAAAACAGGCTGTTTCGGCAGACATTCGCACAGAACTGTTCCACATTCGAGCGGGCAACAAGTGTGTGTGTTTGCGAGCAAAAGAATCCCTTTTCCCGACCATTCATCCTAGTTCCTAGTAGAGGGACAACACTCAAAGGTGAGTGCCTGATGTTTTCGTCAACAAATGTGGGCATTACATTCTGCTACACTTTCGATTCTTTCGAAAAATAGTCAACCAATTAGCGTTTCACAGTGGAAATTTCTGCCAACAAAGCCAATTATGCTTCAGGCTGTAATTTAATGTAAAGTGTGACAATTTGCCACATTAACAATAAAAATGAACGTAAAAGTGTCGACCAGATTTCCTAAAGTCTAAAACACAATTATATTTTGGTTTCGTGGAGAGACATTTATTTTTTTTTATTGCTAAAGTGTATAGATTTAAGTTTTTAGTTTATATTTTAAAAATACATTATCAAAAAGCAATAATTTCTACAGTCGCGTTTGCTTTACAAAGTTTAGATTCTCAGGAACAAAAAATCTCTAATTCAAACAACTTTGAAATTAAGTTAAATTTTAAGTTTTTTTTTTTAATGCCAGAAACACAAAAAGATTAGTGGTAATTAAAAAAATGAATTCAACTAACTTTTAAATTAAGCCTAAATCTGCTGGTAAAAAATATTTCTTAATGGATTAAAACCATTTCATTAGCTTTCTTAAACAGATCTTTAGTTAAGCAAATTAACAAGTTTTTTGGTAATTTTGTATCTTAAATTATTGTTAATAAGGTTTTTTGGAAACTATTTGTGTTTTTCGCTTGAAAAAAGGAGAAAAAGTTAAGCTAGAACCCCTAAATTCTCTAATAATGCAAGAAAAGCATAAAACCTTTCTTAATGTTGTTCTAGAATAAATTTGTCGATTGAGTTGTTAGAAAATTTATAAATATTAAAAGCTCCATTTATAACTTCTTTGTTTTCAATAGTTTTTAATCCTTTCCCCTAAAAGCATCAAACATAATGCTGTAATCCTTAAATGGTGGTAATTTTTAATTGGCCAAAATGGCCAACAGCGCAACTAAAAAAACTGATTTGGTTTTGTCAACTTTTTCGACTCTTTTACCCGGAAAATTAGCTTGGGTCCGGCGAAAAGCCAGCCAGGAAATAGTTTTTCCTCGAAGCCAGCAGACACCAGCCATTTGGGTTAATGAAGGCAAATTGAGATATTTATGGGTGCACTTTTGGGTCCCAGCGCAGAGCTAGATTTCCATTTGCATTCGCACTCGCACCTGCTGCCAAATGGAAGGGAAATAGTGAAGCCATTTTCAGGTGTTGACGGCAGGAGCTCAAGAAGTGCAAAGCGAAGCGTGTGTGCAATTTATGATTTATCGTCGACACTGGACAACTGAAATGGCCGCGCCATCATTTGTCTCTCCGGCGGTGTCTCACCAGGCTGACAAATGATATTTAAATGCCCTGCCACGGGTAATGTGCCCTCCGCACATATATCCTGTATATCCTGCCAAGCCTGAAGGATCTGCTACTTCAAAGGTATCAAACGTATCGCATGTGCCATGCAAATCAGTTTAGGCCTACCCCGCCGAATCCCATGTTTCATCTTCCATTCGCCTGCTAAGCGAATTAACGAGTGTGTTATTGATACCAATTTCGATTCCCATTCCTTATTGTTTCCTTAAGAAGGTGCTTCTGGTGTTGGCTTTGGCCCAGAACAAACAAGGCAGTAAGACTGGCGTATTTATGAATTTTAAATGCACATTTCGGCATCGCAAATCAATCAGACATTTGGCAATTGTTGTCTACCCACTTCAAATTCGCTGACTCCTTGCCATTCCGCTGGAGAGGCTGTCGTCTGTCATATAATATTTTAGCGCCAAGCAGGGGCATTGCAACATTTCCAGTTGGAGCCCATAAATTAAACGCCGCCGCCGACTAGTTTCCTCTTTATGGGACCCTTGAGTTTCCCAAAAACGTGTTGCAATCACAGGCTGCAAGTGCAGCAGCAAATGCAATTGCAACTGCAGTGGGCCATTAATGACGTGGAGACGCTCAGAAGTGCGTATGCAAATGTTCAGACGGTTTGTCTGGGCCATCCTCCTTGCACTTTTGAATACCTAAACACTTGAATACGCCTCTGATTGCCGCGGCATCGAATTAAGCGAGTACCGTCGAAAGTATGTTAATGCTCGCGGTTGCGAAGTCCGCCGCTCATCATCCATCAGAAATCAGGCGCCGACTTGGAGGTCAAGTTTTTGTCGTCAGTTGTCTGGGCAAGTTTTTAATTTCTATCCAAACGGAGCACTCAAATTTTGACGGTGCTGAAGTGCTAATTGGCCACTGGTTGTCGGGTTTGAAAAACCCCTGTTTGAGGCTGACTTTTCCTACTTGCAACTTTGTTTCAACTTTCACAGCTCTTTAAGACTCATATATAATAACAAGACATTTAAAGGTTTTTGGGAATTTATAAACAATATAAATAAAAGAGCCACTTACTCGTAGGGCTGATAACACTAAATAATCTAACATGTTTTTTAATTAGACCTTAAAGAAAGGTGACCCACACATCCAAAGGTATATTTACTAGTAAGTTAAAATAGTTTTGATTTTATGTTCTGTTGATTAAAAATCAAATAACTTGGAAGAAAAGGTAAAGCTAGCGTACATTAATAAGTTTTGCAATATGAGAAATTATACTTTCATTTTTTTTCATTAACATTATTCAGTTTTCCAATATAAGTAATAAATGAAAAGTAATATCAAAAAAATTAAAGAATCTATACATATATATAGTAATATAATATATATAAATATATTTAATATATATTGTATGTATTTTGAGAATTTCTTCTGATTGATGTTCTAAATTTATTTTGGCATTTTTAGTTTAAGCTACATTTAGCCATTTGAATAACTTGTATGCTATTATTCTTTTTCCAAAACGAGGAGACCGGTAAAAAAAAAGAAGATAGTAAGTGTTATTAGTAACACTGTGATGTACCACATAAAGTTGGTGACACTGAATTTTTGGCCAAGTCAAAAACAGGCTGTCGAAGTGTAGTTTTAATGCATGATTTTATACTGACAAATGTTCCAAGTGTTCCGTTCTGAAGACCCCTCGATTTTGGCTGTCTGCTGCAGAACGCATCCTGCCTGCAGCAACCTGTCTCATATCTCGAATGTGGCGACGTGGCAGTCAGCGGATCAGCTTGCCTCGAGCCTTGAGCCTTGAGGCTTGAGCAGGCCTCGCAGGCTGATACGTCACCATATCCAAAAGCCATAATCATTTGCATCTCTAATGGTGCTGCTCGGTCGTCGTCCGGACGCCATACATCCACTGCTCCCCTGGCAGTGCCACTTCCACTGCCACATCCACTTCCATTGCCAACTCCCCCGACTTCCTTGAACCAGTGTTAATGCCTGTAAACCTGGTTATATGCCGATGTGGGTGGGTGAGTAGGTGAGTGGCTGCCCATTGTGGTGGCCCTAATGCGGTTGGTTAACTTTTTACGCGGCAGCCCAGCAGATCTGGCCATAAATATCATGATGGTTAATTAGCAGGACACTTTGTCTGCGCTTTGTCCTGGCCACTGGTGGCTTCAGTTACCGCCCTAAGTAAAACGAACAGCCTTAATGTGATTAAAAGTGGCAATAGATAACGCGAGATGCCATCGCCCCATGCCAACCATAATTATGGCCCCATATTCACTCCTTTTCTTTCCCTTCCTTGCCTTTACTATCCTTGCAGATGGGCATTGCCTTGATGTTCCTGCTGGCCCTGTACCAGATGCAGTCGGCCATCCACAGCGAGATCATCGACACGCCCACTTACGGGGGCAACGCGCTGCTGCAGGAGGCGGACTCTGAGGCGAGTCCGGCGCAGGACTCCACCAATGACCTGGTGGATGCCCTGCTCGGTAGCAGCGATCAGGGCGAGCGGGCGGAACTGGAGTTCCGTCACCCCATCTCCGTGATTGGCATCGACTACACCAAGAATGCGGTGCTGCTGCGCTTCCAGAAGCACAGTCGCCGGCCGCGCTACAAGTTCGATCCGGAACTTGAGGCCAAGCGAAGGTCCGTGCAGGACAACTTCATGCACTTTGGCAAGCGGCAGGCGGAGCAACTACCTCCGGAGGGCACATACGGTGACTCTGGCGAGCAGGAGGGCATGGCCAAGCGGTCCAACATGGATCGATATGGCCGGGATCCCAAGCAGGACTTTATGAGATTCGGTAGGGATCCAAAGCAGGATTTCATGAGATTCGGTAGGGATCCAAAGCAAGATTTCATGAGGTTTGGTAGGGATCCCAAGCAGGATTTCATGAGGTTTGGCAGGGATCCCAAGCAGGATTTCATGAGATTTGGACGCACTCCAGCGGAGGATTTCATGAGATTTGGACGCACTCCAGCGGAGGATTTCATGAGGTTTGGACGCTCGGACAACTTCATGCGCTTCGGGCGCAGTCCACACGAGGAGCTACGCAGTCCCAAACAGGACTTCATGCGATTCGGTCGACCCGACAACTTTATGCGCTTTGGTCGCTCTGCTCCGCAGGATTTCGTACGTTCCGGGAAGATGGACTCGAACTTCATTCGCTTCGGCAAGAGGGTGAAGCCAACGCTTCCCGAAGCCAATCAAACCAAGTCGGGTAAGTCGGAGAAGTCGGACAAGCCGGGCGACAGGAGTCCCGTGGACAAGGCCATGACGGAGCTGTTCAAGAAACAAGAGCTGCACGATCAGCAGGTTAAGAGCGGCGAACAGACGACCTCCTCGGCGGACGAGGGCAGCCTGGAGCAGGAGCCGGAGCAGGAGCAGGAGCAGTTCTTCGGCCAGTGAAGATCAGAGTTCCGATGGCGCCATTCCTTGTAAATAGATAACGACAAACGAGCACACGATTCGTAACTGATATACGTACTATACTATATGTTACATCCCACTCCCCACACGAACTCCCGACAAATGCCTAAACTATGAATTTTTAATGGGGGCTGGATTAAAAATTCACCACGCTTTGAAGTTCTTACCCATAAATATATGTACCTAGCGTAATTTCGAATGCATTGAGAAAAGGTGTGAAAAAAAAAGTATTTTGCCAAAGTTCCAAATAAAGATTGCTCTACTGTATTTTATTGTACTGGTGGTTTCGATAGTTTCGTATATTTTTAGATTCTTAGATAATTCAAATACAAGTGTTTCCAGGTGCATCATTAAGTGCTCAACTTCTTAGCCATTGTTTGAAAGGGAGAAAATAAACACGACTTAACAACGATATAACTCCTTAATTATTTTCCAAAAAATTGCATTGCAGAAAAGTGACCAAAAACCTGTCGTTTTAAATCCATAACTTTTATATCAGGCATCTGATGTAAAAGTGGTATATCTCTAAAGATTCGTGGCTTAAGCCTCTAAAAATCTGCATTTAAATTTTGTTTGAGAATATTAAGTTGTTATTTTTACGATATAACTCCCTATTTAATTTCTGAAAAATAGCATTACAGAAATGGCACCAAAAGCCTACAGTTCTAAGTCCATAACTTTTCTTTCAAGCATCCAATTTCGAAGTGGTATATCTTAAAAGTCTTCTGGCTTAGTTCTCTAAAAATCTGGGTTTAAAACTTGGTTTGTAATTTCGGGCCGATTTTTTGCAAATTTCATGATGTAACCCCTTCCTAAATTTCCGAAAAAATAGTCTGTGCAGAAAAGTGACCAAAAACCTGTCGTTTTAAATCCATAACTTTTCTATCAGGCATCTGATGTAAAAGTGGTATATCTCTAAAGATTCGTGGCTTAAGCCTCTAAAAATCTGCATTTAAATTTTGTTTGAGAATATTAAGTTGTTGTTTTTACGGTATAACTCCCTATTTAATTTCTGAAAAATAGCATTACAGAAATGGCACCAAAAGCCTACAGTTCTAAGTCTATAACTTTTCTTTCAAGCATCCAATTTCGAAGTGATATATCTTAAAAGTCTTCTGGCTTAGTTCTCTAAAAATCTGCGTTTAAAACTTGGTTTGTAATTTCGGGCCGATTTTTTGCAAATTTCATGATGTAACCCCTTCCTAAATCTCTGAAAAAATAGTCTGTGCAGAAAAGTGACCAAAAACCTGTCGTTTTAAATCCATAACTTTTCTATCAGGCATCTGATGTAAAAGTGGTATATCTCTAAGGATTCGTGGCTTAAGCCTCTAAAAATCTGCATTTAAATTTTGTTTGAGAATATTAAGTTGTTGTTTTTACGATATAACTCCCTATTTAATTTCTGAAAAATAGCATTACAGAAATGGCACCAAAAGCCTACAGTTCTAAGTCTATAACTTTTCTTTCAAGCATTCAATTTCGAAGTGATATATCTTTAAAGTCTTCTGGCTTAGTTCTCTAAAAATCTGCGTTTAAAACTTGGTTTGTAATTTCGGGCCGATTTTTTGCAAATTTCATGATGTAACCCCTTCCTAAATCTCCGAAAAAATAGTCTGTGCAGAAAAGTGACCAAAAACCTGTCGTTTTAAATCCATAACTTTTCTATCAGGCATCCGATGTAAAAGTGGTATATCTCTAAGGATTCGTGGCTTAAGCCTCTAAAAATCTGCATTTAAATTTTGTTTGAGAATATTAAGTTGTTGTTTTTACGATATAACTCCCTATTTAATTTCTGAAAAATAGCATTACAGAAATGGCACCAAAAGCCTACAGTTCTAAGTCCATAACTTTTCTTTCAAGCATCCAATTTCGAAGTGATATATCTTAAAAGTCTTCTGGCTTAGTTCTCTAAAAATCTGCGTTTAAAACTTGGTTTGTAATTTCGGGCCGATTTTTTGCAAATTTCATGATGTAACCCCTTTCTAAATCTCCGAAAAAATGGTCTGTGCAGAAAAGTGACCAAATACCTGCCGTTTTAAGTCCATCACTTTTCTATCAGGCATCTCATGTCAATTTGGAATATCATTAAAGTCTTGTGGCTTAAGCCTCTAAAAATCTGCATTTAAACTTTGTTTGAAAATTTTGGTTTGTTATATTTAACGATATAATATCCATTATTTTTCATGGACAACCTTGACAGTAGGGGATCGTATTGCGCGCCCCCGAGGATCCATTGGCACACGAGCAAGTGTGACGGTGAATTCAATTGCAAAAGACCATTTTTTTTTAAATTTTAAAATCATGGAACTGGGAACTGGTTAGGTTTGGGGCAGTGCTAGCATTCCATCGACGTTTTCCAAGTTTGGTTTGCGTCCTTGATAAGATAGGTATTTATTAGTGTCAATCGTTCTTATCGCCCAGCTGTGAGCATAAGAAAACCGCTACTTGGGAGTCGGATCTAAACCACTTAATATTGCAATTTTATCAGTTTATTTGGATTGACAAGTTGGCAAAGTTGTGTGGTTGAAACTTATAGTCAAACGGTAAACATTGCCAACGAACTTTGGACGCCGCTACATCATCGGCTGGACGGGTCTAAAGTCCAACTTGTTGCACCGATCTTGTTGAGTTGTTTGTGTTGTGTTTTGGAATAGAGAGTAAACACAACAACAGATATACATTCGCTTATCTAGGAACAGTTTAGTGCATTTCTAGAACTCTTCCCAGTACTAAACCGTTATAAGCTGAGAAGATAAGAGAAAATGTCGGCACTTTTGAAAATGCACAGAGGTAAGTGTTCCCAGACATCAAATTTCGGTTATTACATAACCGCAAAGATGCTTGAGAGACCTATTTAATCCCTGAACCACGCTGATTATACAATGATCTATTGCCCATCCAGTTCAGAGGCTTTTCCGACCCGCCCTGGTGCGCAGCATCTCGGAGGTGGCCAAATATCCCAGGATCACCACCCACTACACGCTGAATCCCCGCGAGAAGGATGAACGCTGGACAGAAGTGGACATGGAGCGCTGCATCGAGGAGGTGGATCTGGTGATCGTGGGCGGCGGACCAGCGGGCATGTCGGCGGCCATTCGGGCCAAGCAATTGGCGGCGGAAAAGGATCAGGTTTGCCAGTTACTATACGAATCCATCCCTAGCCCACTAAATGTGTGTCGTTGCACAGGAAATCCGTGTCTGCGTTGTGGAAAAGTCCGCCGAGGTGGGCGGACACATCCTCTCCGGCGCCGTCATCGATCCCATCTCGCTGAACGAGCTCATTCCCGACTGGCAGGAGCAGGGAGCTCCCCTCAACACGCCCGTGACCAGGGACACCTTCTCCTTCCTCACCGGCTCCGGTCGCATCTCCATACCCGTCTTCAAGGGCTGGCCCATGGACAACCACGGCAACTATGTGGTCCGGCTGGGCCACCTGGTCAAGTGGCTCGGCGATCAGGCGGAGGCCCTGGGCGTGGAGATCTACCCCGGCTGTGCCGCCTCCGAGGTGCTCTTCCACGAGGACGGCAGTGTGAAGGGCATCGCCACCAACGACGTGGGCATTGCCAAGAGTGGTGCGCCCAAGGACACCTTCGCACGCGGCATGGAGCTGCACGCCAAGACCACCATCTTCGCCGAGGGCTGCCGCGGCCACCTGACCAAGCAGATCATGCAGAAGTTCGGCCTGAACGAGGGCAGCGAGCCCCAGGCCTATGGCATCGGTCTGAAGGAGGTCTGGGAGATTGCACCCGAGAAGCATCAGTGAGTGAGCTGCCGCTGGCTAGCACAGAACGCAATCCTTTGCTACATAGATTATCCTGCCTTGCAGACCCGGTTTGGTGGAGCACACCATTGGCTGGCCCCTGGACCGCTTCACCTATGGCGGCTCCTTCTTGTACCATCTGAACGAGCCCACGCCCACCATCGCAGTGGGCTTTGTGGTGGGCCTGAACTATAAGAACCCCTGGCTCAGTCCCTTCCAGGAGTTCCAGCGCTTCAAGACGCACCCCAAGGTCCGCCACGTCTTCGAGGGCGCCACCCGAATCGCCTACGGAGCTCGTGCCATCAACGAGGGCGGCTTTCAGAGTCTGCCCCAGAAGCTATCGTTCCCGGGCGGCTGTCTGGTGGGCTGCAGCGCCGGCTTCCTCAATGTGCCCCGCATCAAGGGCTCCCATTACGCGATGAAAAGCGGCATGCTGGCGGCGGAGAGCGCCCTGGAGGCCATCAATGCGGACACACAATCGACGGCTGGCGTGGAACCCACCACCTATGCGGAAAAGTGAGTTGGGAGAGGTCTTCTGACAGAAGGCATCATTCTATGTAATCGTATTTATCCCATCCAGAATCAAGAACTCCTTTGTGTGGAAGGACCTGTATAGTGTGCGCAATGTCCACCCCTCGTTCCACAATCCCTTGGGCCTGTACGGCGGTCTGGTCATGAGTGGCTTCTCCATCTTCATGGGAGGTCGCGAGCCCTGGACACTGAAGCACGGTCCCCAGGACCATGAGTCGCTGCAGCCAGCCAGCTCCAGCCAGCCCATTGTATACCCCAAGCCCGATGGCAAGATCTCCTTCGACCTTCTGTCGTCGGTGGCGCTCACGGGCACGAACCACGAGGGCGACCAGCCGGCCCATTTGACGCTCAAGGACGACCGCATACCGGTGGACCACAACCTGGCGCTGTACGAGGGTCCGGAGCAGCGCTTCTGCCCCGCCGGCGTGTACGAGTACGTGCCCAACGAGGAGGGCGGCAACATGAAGCTGCAGATCAACGCCCAGAACTGCATCCACTGCAAGACCTGTGATATCAAGGACCCCAAGCAGAACATCAACTGGGTGGTGCCCGAGGGCGGCGGCGGCCCCGCCTACAACGGCATGTGAAAGGCATGCCATTGCCTGGAGCAGACCATTCGTGTACCGAAATTGCATTTCACTAGTTTTTAAAATCGAGAATTTGAACTTATGATACGGAATTAAGTCTAAAAGTTGCAATAAATTTGTAGAGAAAGTCAGTGAGCAGAGTCAGTTGCCAAAAAGGTTTTATTTAAAATGTTCTACTATCATTTGCTCGGTTTTGCACGCGCAGTTTCTGTTTAAAACACCAACTTATTAGGTAAATATTGAATCCACAATCAATTTGTCAATTTCCAAAACCTTTCATGTTCAGTGCACGGATAAAACTTGTTTCTCTTTTTATATAGTTTCACATATATATGCCATGTATAATGTACTATCTTGTTTTTCACCAAAACGGTTGCATCATGTCCTTAGCTTAGAGTTACAATTTAGTTGTATATGGTTATTTGAACAGACACATCGATGGACACACTTAACTCTCATTTTCTTTTTCCGAAATGCTCCCTTATTATGCTCTTTGTGCAGATCCGCATATCACTCCCACAGAGCTATCTAGAGTTTAGATGAACGTACATATATGGAGCCCACGACATTCTCTAAGTGAGTTCAAGCACAAGTCTTTGAATAATTATAAGAAGTATGATTGTGGCGTGCCACATAAATCCCATTACAACAGTGCGTAGGTATAACATTTTATCTAGGTATTATCCTAAAGGTACAGCGAATACGAATTTACACTCTGGACGATCCGATCCGTCTGTCTGCTTGACTATTTCTGTGCTGTGAGTGGTCCCTGTGACCGTAGGACGTCTTCTAGACAGTCAACTGTACAGTGCGTTGATCAAATATATATATAACTCCTATCTTTCCTTTCCTCTCTTTAAACTAGACTACATGGGTTTCTGGGTAAGCCTTCCTCATGCAATGCCAATTGAAACACCCCTTTGTACATTACGTGCTGCTTAGTGGAGGTTATCTCTTTCGGGATTTCACTAGGTTTCCGATTCGGTTTCGGTTTCGGTTAGGTTAATTATCAGTTACCAGATTTATCTACGCTTATTTAAATAGCACAATTAACACCTGTATTGAAATTTTTCACCATCAAGTTGTTCGTTATCATTATCATTTGCAATCAACATTGTTACAACATTCAGTTATATCTTCATGTATTTGTTCATCAAAAAGAGGCACTGTTTTTAAGGCAACACTACACAGTGAAGTTATATACCAGGTTCTATATACATCAACAGAATGAGGTCCAAATAAAAACGAAAGCTCTGGGAAAAACCGAAAAATCCTTGCAAATCATATGAAAATCATTTGGGGTCGGGTCAACGTAGGGTTTAGGTTACAACATTGAGTGGTGCAACAAATATACCCACAAATATCCACTTATAACATGTTTGTATGTACATAATGTATATATATATATAATATAACCAACAAAGAGCAGGCCATCCTCGGCAGCTCTTGAAGTTTCTGGATGAGATCTGCAATGAGATGGCCTGCTCTGTGGACTAACTACGTGTAATTTACACTGGGTTCAGGACCAGGGTCTCATCCTAAAAGTGCGCTTCGGTTTGGGGAACCTTGGCCAGTTGCTTAGTGTATTGTATATATCGTATATATGGCTAGAAAATATCGTTCACGTGCTGGTAGACGTACAATTTCGCTCTCCCGCTCCGCTTCAATCTGCTTAACTATGTAAATATGTAGGTGTTGTAAAGCTTGTTGTTCAATGGGGAAACCTGTAGAGTGTAAGTTTGCTTATTGTTTATGCTGACTCGCCGCCGACTGCACCTGCTGCAGTTTAGCTTTCTGTATTTAAATATGCACAGCTGATGCAGCCTCGTCGTCTCGAATACAAATACAAATGTACATAAATATTTTACTCTTTTTGTTTGCGCCTTTTTTTTGGCGCTGCTGTATAAAGTGCAACAGGTCATGTGCATATGGCCAGTGCAAATATCTGCGGGCGCGTTTACCTCTTAGTCAAATATTGGCAATTTCGAAATGGGCAATTGACATTGACACAGGCGCAGACACGCCCACTACCCACTGGGCCTGTTTAAATATGACAGGGTACAGAATTGTACAGAAAACAAATAAAGTAATGGATTAATCAAATAATAATATTAACTGGTAACGGGTAAATGGGAACGCAAAATAAAAAAAAAAACGGAAAAATGTTCTTGAATAATTTTATTTAAATTATATTTTGTTGAGTTGTTGTTGCTGTTGCGATTGTTGTTGTTTTACAAACGGCATTTAAATGTAAAAAATACAAAACTTAGGCACAAGAATTTGAAGCACTTCAAATTGAATAGAAATCCACTTTAAATTTAAATTACAAATTATGACTTCGTTTCGCTTAAGAGATGAAAAGAGAAAAGTGTCTATTAAATAATCGCTTAAATCAGAACTAAATCATAATCATAAAGTGTGTGTGTGTAAATGTACTGGCTGCCAAGGCTGCTGTTGTGTGATTCATGCTGAAATCAACAATGCCTAGCTATCATAGAAAACAAATCGGTTTCGATCGATGATGAACCGCCAAAAGTGTAAGTGCGCAGAACAGATAAGACCAAATAAAAATTGACGATAAATTGCACAAAATTACAAATTATGATCGAACACTGAGTACATCTGCTTGAGGGTCTGTGTTTTGCATAGAGTTTCTCAATCGACTCATCGTATGACTTGCATGGTTTACGTATCTCGTAGTTTCCTACGAACTAAGTTTAAAACTTATGACACTAAAATCAAATATTTACAGCATAAAGAGCTCTTTCTTTTGTTTTCTTTTTGTTGTTGTTTTTGTTTCTCTTTTGTTTTTTTGTTTTGTTTTTTTTTTGTCTGCAGCATTTCGTCCTAAGATTAGATTTAACATTAACTTTAACCATACTCGTAACTGTATTTGTAATTGTAACTAAACTAAATCAGCTCAACACTCTAACCTGCTCGAAACTTCTCAGCAGTATGCTCTGCGTTTATAATTTTAAATTATAATTTATAACTATTACCGTAGGTGTGTGTGTGTGTGTGTGTGTGTGTAATTGTAATTCATTTAAGTTACAATAACTATAAGATATGACACTGTCACTGTTTGCTTAAACCGAAAACAAAACAAAACTGCCTCCTTTCTGTTTCCTTTCTTCCTTTCTCTCTTCCTCTCTTTTTCTCTCTCGCTCTCGACTATTGCACTGGTCCTTAAACGGAAACGGAAACGGAGGATCCTACGGGTGCTGCTGCGATCCGTAGGCCACCGCCAGCTGCTGGCCATAGCAGTCGTAGCCGCCGGACTGTAACAGGCTGTAGGAGCTGCGGGCCATGTCCTTGCGCGGCGGTGGTGGCATCATCGCCAGGTCATCGCACTCCGCTGGCTTTTTGCTGCTGCTGCTGCTGTTGCTGCTGTTGCTGCTGCTGATGGTGTTGCTAGTGTTGCAGCTAGTGTGGTGGTGGTTGTGATGTTGCTTGTAGTGGCTGCTACCGGCAGCTCGTGCCGGCTATGTGCCCCATCCGCCCGATATTCTCGGCCGTTTGTGGTTGGGAGCATCGTAGTCGCCGAGCTGCTGCTGCTGCTGTTGCTGCTGGTGTTGCTGCTGCTGCTGTTGTTGATGCTGCTGCTGCTGCTGCTGCTGCGCGGCAACGGCGGCCAGACGCACATCCTGATCGCTGCTCGGCGCACCTGCATTAAGGATAATGAAGTCTGTTAAGCTATTAGTTTGATTTGCACCAAGGTCGCGTGTGTATGACAAAGGCAGGCGGGCATTTAAGGCGGGCATTCAGGGCGTGGCCAGACACTCGGACATTCAGCATCTGACCATTGTGAGAGCGTGTCTTGTGGTTATGGAGGCCTGGAGTTCTAAAAGTCACTTAGTTTTAATATTTTGTTTGAAATCTTCTAGAACTCCAGACTGTGTGTTTTTGGTTAGCAGGAAATCGCTTGGTTGTGTGATTGGTTAGTAAATGGAATCAAAAAACAAAAGCCAAGCAAACAAAAATTTCTTTGGAATTTCACAATCGTGTTAAGATCCCCCGAAACTCAAACTAAATTAAACTCAAGATGTTTCAACTGCCCCCTTGCCCTAAAACAAAAGGAATTCCATTGCATTTACAAGAATTTTGCTATATAGTTTTGTATGAATGTATGCGTAGATATATAGGTGTTTTTGTATGCTTGTTCATGTGTATGTGTGTGTGTGTGTGTTTTTGAATGTATTTGATGTATTTTCGTTTGTGGCCAATTTACCGGCAAAATTCCATCTAGGATTATGTCCCATTAGCGCGCGGTACGGATATCCTTCATACTTATCATGCCCTACAAATTATCACACAATGTGGTTGTTGTCGTTGTCGTTGTGGGTTAATGCAAAAGAAGACAATCGTATTAAATAGTAACAATATTAGAACGGCAGGTTGCACAAGTATTTGGTAAAGAGTTAAACGAAAACGAAACGCGGCGTATACGTAATGGAGCATTAAGTATACGCCCGTTGGGCACTAGAAACGGAACATTAATAGGGATAGCGAGGTATAAAGATAGTTTTTAGCACTAAAAACATGCCGCTTTACAAAATGTAATTTATTTTAATTCGTAAATTTGCAACTCTAGAGAAATTAGTAGACAAACGGCAGCAATTTTTGCAAGCGGAAATCCTTCGAACACGAGGTAGAAGTCAAGGTACAAAGGAAAAGGAGAGCGAGAGCAAGAAAGTGAATGCCTACCTGGAGTGGGTGTAATGTGGCCCGTGGACGAGGGCCTCGAGCTGGGCATGACCAGGTGGTGCTGCTGCGCGTGGCTCAGCACGCTCAAATTGGTGGCCTGCTCCATGCTCCCGTTGCTGCCGCCGCCGCCGCCCCCTCCACCTCCTGGGCCCGAAGGACCTCCTGCCAGCACGCTGACGTTGTTCAAGTGCGTAATGACGTTGGCTGCACTCACGGCTCCCGAGCCACCACCTCCTCCTCCTCCTCCTCCACCTCCTCCTCCGCTGGCATTGCTGCTAGTGCTGCTGCTCGATCCGCCGCTACCCGTCGACCCATTGCTGTTCTGCTGATGGCCACTGGCGGACAGGTCACGTGGCGGCGACTGCGGCTCGGCCTTGACTTTAATGGAGACGGGTGAGGTGGCGGGCGGCGGCGTGCTATTCGAGACAGCCAGGTGCGAGAGACTGGAAGAAACATTGTGAAATGCATGATTATATGTCCATTACAAAGTTTTTTAATGGTTGTAAACGATGCAGCGGCATAGCACTGTCCTAACAAGAATGTAAGGTCAAAATATTTTAAATATTTTAAATATTTTAAATATTCTATAAAACGACTATATTTTCATTTACGTATGTGTTTAACCTTAAAGATATCGTTGCCGTTTCTAAAAACGCTAAAACCGTTATTCTAAAATAGTTAACTATTTCAGAGTATTTTTGCATCTATCCTCGACTTATTACTATGTGCAATCTATATAAAGATTTTTGGGAAATAAACTTAGAGATTTGTCTGCGTAACAAGGGCTAGATCAACTCTCTAGGGATGCTGATCAAGAATATATATACTTTATAGGGTCGCAAATGCCTGTCACCCTACTTTGCAAACTTTTGTAAAATACATGGTTGTAAACGATGCAGCAGCAACTGCTCACCTAGAGTGCGGCACCAGGCCCTGATGCCAGGTGTTGAGGCTCATGATATCCGCGCTGCCCATCACGCCGGAGGTGGAGAAGTCCTGCGCCCCGAAGGAGTAGCTCGTGAGGGCGGGAATCGGCGTCTGCAGCGTGACCACTGGCGTGTTCAGCGACGTCTGACTCTGTCGTTGCTGGAGAAGAAGAGATAAAACCAGGATAAAAATAGACCCAGTGAGGGAGAACCTGCATTCAATACTCACATCTGAATAGGGCACGTCGTCGGGCGCGGACATGTTGGGCGGTATGGGGGCGATGGTGGGCGGTATTACGACCCTCAAGTTGGAAGCTCGTCCATTCTGGCTGCCCGGCGACTGCTGCTTGATGGACAAGTGATGGGCTGCAAGGAGATCTCGGTTAGTCGGGGAGCCACAACCAATCGGAAAGTTTAGCCAATGATGGAGTGATTTCCAGTTCGGGAGGGTGTTAAGTGAGGGGTGAGGAGTAGGTGGAGTAGGTGGAGTAGTAGGGGTGATGTTTATGCCCACCTATGCCAGGACTGGGACCCGGACTCGGTGATCCCACAAGCGGCGAGTGTGAATGCGGATAGCCGTTCGACATCTCCAGCATGGAACCCGATGGATAGACTGATGAGCCGAAAGAGAAGATAAGAATGTGCAAACACACGTTTAGACCGAATCGCAATCGCTATATATACACTTTATATATATATATATACTATATACAGAACTTCGCACGCAACTTTTGGTTAGATGGCGGTGAGTGGGTTACGGAAATCAGAAACAACAGAACAACGGTTAGAAAGTAAGAAAGTTAGAGTAAGAGTTAGAGCAACCATGCACTTCAAATTAGTTTAGATCGAAAAGTAACGCAACGAAGAACAAAACCAACAAGATAGATAGATAGAAATGTGTGTGCAGCCGGCGCGAGACACTGTACTAACTTATCAGGGACATCCCACCTGAATCCGTCTCCGAACTCGATGGACGTGGGCTGATGTTGGTGTGCGACATCTGGGGGCTGGCCTGCAGCAGGTTGTCGCCGTAGGAGCCAGGCACCGGCACGGAAACGGGCAGCGTGTAGCTGCTGTTGGGCAGCTGACGCGGCGCTCCCGCTCCGCCGATGGCCATCTGGTTGCGCTGCATCATGTTCTGGAACTCCTCGTCGATCTTGTTGTACTTGGCCTCCGTGCGCGGCGTGAGTGTGTAGTCCGTTTCGGCTTCCGGCGAGTCCGGCGACATCACGCCGTTCTTGTTCTCTTTCTGCAAGTCGGAAGGGAAAATCAAGGGAAATATTCAAAAGCGTGCGACGAGTGACGTGTTAATTGGCCCAGGCTTTTCCTTCTTTCGGGCCACTTGACGCTTTGTTGTGCTAAATTATGTAAATGCAAATCTTGTCCTACGCTGCTGCTTCGCTGCTGTTTCCCCGGCAGTATTAACATTACAAAACCATTTACCCGCGGACAGCGACAACGGCGACGCCGCATTAGAAATGCAAAATACTTTGGCGACATTTCCCCTTTCTCCGCCCCCACTTTTCTTTCCCCCCATTTGCTCTCAGCTAAATTCTGCACTCGCTGTTATTGTTATTGCTTTAATACTTGCCAAGGGCTATGCAAGTTATCTTAAAGTTTAGTTAAGCAGCAATTCCGGTAGTATGATTTTATTGAAGAGTATCCAAAGATGTTTAAGTTAAGTATGCACAGTAATAAATTTTGTTTTCAAGATTGCATAATTTTTTTATTATTCAAGTAACTTTGAAAAGGTTAAAAGCTCTTTATATTGCAGCTTGGTGGGTTATTAACAATTGAAAAATAATATGATTATTTAGTAAAACTAAAACAAAAAAAAATATATATAAAATCCCTTTTAATACTATACCATGTAACCCATTTAACTCATAAGCAATATTGTAATATTTTTAAACACCTTTTTTAAGAACAGCTTTTTCTAAAATTATTTCCAAGGCAGCTGAGTCTCTGTTTAAATATTTAAATCAAGAAGTAAATTGCAATTATAGTAAAAGGGAAAAAGACTTTTTTAAATAGGCGTATTTTTACAAACCCCAGGGTATTCCTAGCTTTTCTCCAGTATCCGTCAAGTTCCCCCTTGCTTTGCACCCTTCTACTACTGCATTTACTGCTGTGCTTTTCACGACTCACTTGAATTTGCATAATGACGCTCTTTCCCCGATTTTCCCCGCTTTTCCAGTCCGTTTTTCCACCCCATTTTCCTTGCAACTTACCTCGATGATGTTCTTGTTGGTGAGGGACTCGTGGGGCTCGTTGTACTCGGTGTACTTGAGCAGAACGCGATCCATGTCGGTGCTGGCATACTGGTACAGCTTGTTGCTCGACGAGAAGATGATGAGGGCGATCTCGCAGTCGCAGAGCACCGACAGCTCGTAGGCCTTCTTCATCACGCCGAACTTGCGCTTGTTGAAGGTCACCTGCGGAGAAAAGAGAACCGGAAACGGAAGTGCGTTCAATTACGGCCCGTGCTCAAATATTTATGCGGTTCGAAAATGTAATTAGAGGCATGGCCTTAGCCCAAGTGGCCTGGCCAAGTGGCCAAGTGGCCAAGTGGTAAAGTGGCAAAGTGGCCAAGTGGCCCAAGCCCTTGCTGGCTGGCTAGTTGGTAATGAATCGATTATGGCCGAGTCAAGGCCAAAGGGGCAGAACAATAAACAAGTTGTTACTGTTCCTTGTTCTTTTCACTGCCGGCGAATGACGCGTTTATGGCTTGGCCAAGACATCGCCTTAGCCACAGCCGAAAGTAAGTGGGAAAAACCTGCGATGACACGACACACAACGCTTGCCAGTTAAAAAATTGGAATGGTAAGTGAAAATAGGATCCTTTCCTTTGGAAAAGGTTTGGGAAGTCCACTTTAAGATATGAGTGAGTACATTTCTGTAAGCTTTCTTAAGGATTTGTTGCTTACTTTCTGTGAACAGGGACATAAAATGAAATTACTTTCAAAACATTACTTTAAATTTGAAAATTCAAAATCAGTAATCACATAACCAATTATAGAAAATTCAGTAGAATGCAATATTTGCATTTTGTTTAGATTGCAGCAAATGCTAAACTTCACAATCGTGTCATTTAATCAAACAACAAATTAGATTGGATTAGACACCAATCAACTAATTCATTGTAACAATTTAATGAGGAAACGCTTTCTCGACACCGATTCAATTTCAATTAAATAGCCTTAAATCGATTCACCTCCAGTGCTTTATCATTGTCTTAATTAAGTTAAATTGCCATGGCAAACTGTTAGCTCCAATTCGGAGCAAACAATTGTTGCTCACTGAATTACGGAATTGTTATTGTTATTTGCTGGGGATTGGCAAACATCTATTGACACTCACCTGCCGATTGCGTTCGTCGGTGATGCGTGATATTTGAATTTTCTTGCGACCCATGGCAACAGTTTTCCTATCCTCCTGCGATTGTAACTGAGATGACAATGTCCTTGGCTGATGTTCCTGCTCGCTTGGTCGCTGATTTGCTGCTTGGATTTTCCGGCAGCTGATGGGGAAAACTCAGTTAGTCGCTGCCCTGCGGATTGCTGTGGCTCTTCCTGGTGTGGCAGACGTGGGGCATATTTATATATATATATATATAGTATCTATATATTATGCCTTCTTTTTGTTGTATAAGTGGACGGCTTGTCAAAACGGCAAATTCTCTTTTTGTGTATACATATATAGGTGTGTATATAATTTTATATAATTGTTTCCTCAGGTAACTGCAACGAGAGATGAACAGGATAGAAAAGATAAGTAATGGGTGGGATTTAGAGTATAGGTAGTGGAGAGTGCAGAGTGGGGGAGTAATGGCTGACCATTTAACCCACATAGCTGGCTACTTCAAAGGGCTTTTCCAGCTGGACGGGACAGGATTTGCGATTTGCGGTCAACTGACTCCATTGTCATCGCTCCACTGGCGTTGAAAGTTCAATGCACCGCTAATGAAGAGCAAGTTGTGTCGTAAATGTACTACATATCGCCCGCGATGACCTATTTCATGGGCTGGCTTCAGTTAATTGATGTCGCTGCCTCCAACGGACCCTACGCATGATTAGATTCGCGCTGTCCCTCCGCCGGAGACCCTGGGATCCTAGATCCACTCGCTTTGATGTCCTGCCAACGCTCACTTAACACACACTCGCACACTCTCACACAAACGCACTAAATCAATAAGGATGCTGCCAACAAGTTCACTAGCCAAACAGTTTTAAAGCGGAAACGGAAGCGGCACTCCAGATCGCATTTTTCCGATTGCCCAGGGCAACGGCAACACTCAAGAGCTCCGGCGGAAGCTGGGTCGCTCTGTCGCATTTCCCCGTTTTCCCTCGCTTTTCACCCGCTTTTCACCAGCTTTTCCTTCCCTGTGCGGCAGCGGCACGTGGCTGGCAAACGCGAGCCAGCAAAAACATCCACAGGTCCCCTCACGGCTCCTTTAAGCCAGGCAATTCCATCACTGAGATAAAATGATGTTTGTTTGAAAGCAACAGGAATATAATAACTACTACTACTTATCTAAGAACGTCTGTTTTGCATTACTTTTCTCACCAAATTCCATTTTATTGAAGGCATTTATATGTAGTATATATTTGAATAAGGATTTTTTATCACCTGCCACAAAATGTATACAAATATGTATATTTTTTTTACAATTTATCTCCGCTATATCAAAATTTAAAGTATCCATTAGAACTACCATTAAATTTAAATGAATGGCTCTAAATTAAAATACATCTACTATCAAAACTGAGTAAAAATATTATTTTAATATTAATAATTTCTTTATCAAAATTAAATTCAATAAGATTCACAATTTTAAAAGGCAATATGAAATTAAGATCTTATTTAAACGATTTTAGATACCAATTTTTTCTCAGTGTTTAAGCAAAAGAAAATCGAGCAGGATAAATTACAGTTTCCTTATTCTTTTGGTCTTCCTTTTCGTCTTTGCCTGTTGTTTGTCCTTAGGCCAGGACTCGGGATAACAACAACAACAACAACAAGTGCCTTGGCAACGCTTTTTCTTTTTTTTTTCCTCCCACCCCCCGCACTTCCAATCCACTTTCCCCTCTCACTTTTCCTCAACTCACGCAGCGACCTACGCAATATGCTTCAGCTTTCAGCTGTGCCAGCGGCCAAAGGGGGCGAAATGGGTTGTGACAGGACGATGGGAAGGGGGGTGGGGTCTTAGCCTTGACGAATATGTGTGACAGCCAAGCCAGCACACACATACTCCCATACAACAGCGAGGACACACTCAACAAATTCGTTACATTTCTCCCGCTTTCTCCCGCTTTTCCCCATTTTTCCTTGCTTTGTATTCGGGCATGATTATGCGTGAGTTTTGTATTCGATGACTCGAACATTTATTATTGATATGGAAAAGAAACGAAATGAGAAATGAGAAATGGAAGCAGGAACCGGGCATAAGGAATGAATCGATAATGATATTGATGACGCTACCATTTGATTCGCTGGCAACCGAGTGAATAGAGCTGCTCGACTATGACTCTCCTTCAGGGATTAAATGGCATGACCACCGGCAAGTGTTGCTCCAAATGCGGATAGAAGATAGGGTATCAAGTATACGCAGTGGTTCCCCTATGCCCATATGCCCCCACCCCCCAATCAATAATTATCCGTTTAGTAATCAATATTAGATTTTGGAAAATTCTATCCAGGCAGGCAGGACAAATTGTGGCCTTTGTTTGCTCGTGTTTGTTTTTGTGTTTGTGTTTGGCCTAAGCACTTGGGCCATAATTAAGGGACACCTAATCCGCTTAGGATGTGCCACTCACCGTTACTTTTTTTTTTTTTGATTGCCGCTCAAGGGATTATCCTGCGATTGAACCCAATGCAGTAAATCATGTATAAGTCACTTCTTCAGTGTACCGATAAGGTGCGGAAATTCAACTTTTACAACAAGTGCGTCAGTGCGGGAGATGAATAATTGAAGGCGCGAACAAAAGCAGCCAAGTTATCACACCGCAAGTGAGTCAATTAGTGGCCACATGCCACTTGCCACTGAGTGTGTGAGTGTGTGTAGCTCTGTGACTGGCTACGTCATTGCAACAATTGCAAGATATGTAGGATGAGGGGCTGAAAAGGGGGGGGCGGCAAATGGGGCGTACACGACAAGGCCATGTGGCAGACAGCAGCAGGATATCAAGTGCTCGAATTACGAATTTGTCCTGTTTTGTAGCATACTTATCAGCGTCTGCTATTGAATTACACTCACGCTGCTTTGGAGACAACTAAAAAGCAGTTAGGACGAGGGGGTTTTAAACGTCAAAAGAGTTTACATAAGGTTGATTAAACATTGAAGATGTACGTCAAAAAATCGTTACTCAAATGTTTCCTTAAAGCCAAAAATAGTTGGGGTATGAAATATTTAGTGATAAAGATGTAAAACTGTTTCTTTTTTTATTATATCATTAATCTGAACAAGTTTTTTTTTAAAGCAATCAACGTTTTTTAGCAGAAATCAGCTTTTACTACAGTTTGGCAATCGGAGTAAAAATAAAACTAGGTTTTTAGGGCAGTTTTAAAACTGTGCAAACTAAACAAAAACAAGTATAAAAAATTACAATTTATATCACATAGTATTTTTCTAATGACTTTGTTCATGTAATATTTTTAGAGCAGTATTATCTGTACTTTGATATCTTTTGTATGCTTTCTAATACTAATTTAACTTAATGGTTCATCAAGTTTAATTTTACCTACCAGTTTACTACCTACCCCCATCTGTCTTTACCAAAGTTCCACTCCAAAGTTATTGAAAATCTGCATTCTCATTGAGCGGGAGAATCATTTGCCCACCCAGTATCTAATCTTGCAAGAATTTCAAGTTGCCAAAAACTCTTTATAAATCAAATGGTCACGTCGTTCGCGGCGTATACACAGGTAGGTATAGTAATGGGGCAGTGTTTGTTTAGTCAAGCGGCACTTCAAGTGGTGCAGGTGTTGGGCCCCAGCGAAAACAATCAAGAATGGCAGCACAGATATTTGACTAATTGCAGGGGGATTTCGAAAAGGGCTAATCACCGCCACCGAATGTGGTTGTGGAAAAACAAAGGATGTGCGGCGGTGGATTCTGTAACCCGGGGGCCGAAAAGAACTTAACACGGTTTCCATTGCAACAATTAACCATTTGCGGTTGCAGTTGGCTGGGTTGAACTGGGCTGCTGCCTCGCATTTCACTGGGTCAACGGCAAAGGCAAATGGATGTGGATGTGGATGTGGAAATGGAAAGGCGGCACGGCACTTGAGCTGAGGAAGGAAGGATGTGCCGAGTCAGGATGTGTGTCAAGACATTTGTCTTGTGGTCGGGCAATTAAAACGAAGCAAACTGCCGTCACACGTTTGCCAGAGATTCTCCATTTAATTGGCCCAAAGACAACCAGCGGCGACATCATTAGGCAAATGGCCAAGAACAAATCTCAAGAATGTGGGTGCTTTTTGCTCAGCCTCTCGGACTCTCACTCGGATTTGGAAATCCGACTGCTTAGCAACTTAGCAACTTTGTGTTTTCCCTAATTGTTTGGGCCAACAAAGGCGGGGGGACGCATTATCGATTTGATTTAGTGAATCACGCTCTGCGGCTTGGCTTTTTCTCCGATGAGCAGGCATTTAAAAGGCGAAAACTTGTTGCGCTTGCCTTGATTGCGCTCAATTAGCATTTGTTGCGGGCAAATTTATGCAAATTTTAAACTTTTCCGTATTTTGGTGGAATGAACTCCGAACCGATTTCGAAACCAGTTTGGGTCGCATCGAGCAGCGAGATGAGCCGATCTGAATGCAATCTCTCACCGTCCGCAGCTCACAGCCTCAATTAGAGCGACAGAGAAGGCAGGCAGGCAGGCGAGACCTTTCATAAATTCCGTTTTTATGGCAGCTGCCCGGCCAAATTTCAAGTTTAAAAAACTCTTAATTTATCGCCTGCCATTAAGTTAATACACATATTTGGGGTTTATATATTTAACTAACTTAGGAATGTCTCTATTACATTTTCGTTAGCCTTTCTCAATCAAATAGTTCTCAGCTTTGTGGAATGTTTAAACTTCCTTGGTCGCCCGTCTCACTTTCACTTCTCATCCGGCCAAGATCTGTCAATGTCCCCCACTTTTGTTATCGTTGTTAATGTGCCGCAGTTAACGCATTCTTGCGACTCTGGTTATAAATCTTGACTTAATTAAAGACACGCGCGCGCTTTGAGACGCGATGAAAACGCCTGAGAAACGCGTCGTTTGAGATTGCCACCGATGCGGAACTTTTTTAGTGGTCGAAGGCGGTCGGAAATTGAGTTTAGAACTGTAATTTACTCCACAAAGAAGTTGCGGGGTACTCATCAATACAATGTGAGCAATTAAAAGTTTAAAGAGTGCTAAGAATTGTTGAGCAACCTTTGCTTAAAAACCTTCCTTAAAATAGGTCTTTAAACTATTCATTTTGCAATGTTTTGTTATAATCTACACTTTCTTAAAAATTTGCTACTATTTACAATGCTAAACAGTATTCCTTGGCAATATAAACATATTTGTTTTTTTTACAAATCTTTTAAAATTTACCTTTTAAATTAAACACCCACATTTCTGTTTCTTACTATTCTATCTTGTTTTTCTAAACCTCTGATTATTTTTTATCAACTAATCCCAAACAATAAATAAGACACTTTTTATAAAGTGTATTGTTCAAATATTAATAATATTTCTGGTAGCGA